GTAAATTCTCATCCCATGCTAATTTATGCTTCCAAATATTTTGGATTATTAGTTTAGCAACAATAATTATTGGCCCTAATAAGCCTAAAGGATCAAATATCTGGGAAAAAATTGACAAAATGGTTCTTTTTGTAATAATCTTTAATGAAAAAGTTTCTAAATTTAGTTTATAGTTTATGGAATCAGTGTGTGCATCCCAGAATATACCAAGAGTTTTATTTGGTTCATTTTCACCAATTTTTAAAATATTTAAATCAAGATCTTTATTTACTTTAAATTTATCTAAAATTTCCTTATCATTGCACAGCCACTCAAGAAGTTCAAATCCAGAGTTAAGTAGAGCATTAGAAACATTTTTCTGAATATGCAAAATTTCTTCCTCTGTTTTAGCCCCAGTTAAAAGGTCATCCATATAAAAATCCCGTTTTATAATAGTACTTACCACTGAATCCTCGTTAATTTGATCTGCTATGTCAAATAGACATTTTACCGCCAAATAGGGGGCAGAAGCAGTTCCATAAATGACTGTATGTAGTTTGTAACAACTTAATTCTTGCTCGGAACTCGAGCGCCAAAATATTTTCTGATATTTCTGATCCTCTGGATCTATTAAAATCTGACGGTACATTTTATTTACGTCACCCGTCATCACATATTTATAAGTTCGAAATCTTGCCAGAATATCAAAAATATCTTGTTGTAAAGTCGGCCCTGCAAACTGAACATCATTCAATGATAATCCTGACGAAGTTTTACAAGAGGCGTCAAATATCGTGCGAACTTTAGTAGTCAAACTGCTATTCTTAACTACTGCGTGGTGAGGCAAATAATAGCCTCTATCTTGGTCATCAATATCATTATATTCTAACATGTGCTTTAAATTAATATACTCTGTCATAAATTCTATATAAGCCCGTTTTAATTCAGAATTATTATTTAATTTCCTTTCTAATAAATAAAAGCGTCGTAGAGCGACGTCCCTTGACTTCCCTAAATTAAAAACTGAGTCATTAAATGGTATTCTTACTACATATCTGCCATCTTCATTTCTAGTTGTAGTCCTTTCAAAATATTCTTCACAGTATTTCTCTGCCTTGTTTTCGATTATTTACTTCTTCTAATTCCCAATACCTTAATATATTTTTATCAACATAAGAATCTCCCTCTGAAGCAGTGAAACAATTTATCGAAACATTACCACACGATGAATTAAGAATCATATTGCCAGCTACGATCCAACCAAAAGCTGTATTTTGAAGAACAGGCAACCCTTGTCCAAAACACATCTGACCCTGAACCAAAACTGACCAAAATAATTCTGAACCTAATAAAAGATCAATCTCATGAGAAATATTAAAATCTGGATCCGCAAGCTCCATATAAGCAGGTATTTTCAATTTATTTTTATTGAACGTAAAAATCGGCAAATTATCTGTTATTTTATCAAGCACTAGACAATTTATATCTCGTTTGAAACCTCTATCAACACATGAATTTATTTCAACAGTGACTTGTTTATTTATATTTGCCAAAGTTTGCCCGATTCCTTTTACAGAATGATTTATTTTCTTATATTGCAAATTCAGCCTTTTACATAAGGCCTCTGTTATGAAATTGCTCTGCGATCTGCTGTCAAGTAAAGCTCTACATTTAATAAAATTATTATGGTTTTTTATAGTAACAATTACTGTTGATAACAAAACCTGAGAACAAGAACCAACAACAACACTCGACTTCAAATGAGTTGTGAAACTATCCGTTACCACTTTAGGAATCATCATCTGCGGATCAGATGAATCTGGTTCCGGCGTCGTTAAACTAGAATTATTTACCTGAGACCTGTTTCCACCACTGGTACCAAGAATATCGGAATGCAGTAAAGTGTTATGTGCCTTTCGACATTTCATACATTTATTTAACTTTCATTTCGTATGTCTTAAACAATTTAAACATAATTTTAGTTTTTTCACCGTATGAATTCTTTTTTCCACAGAAAGCCGCAAAAATCCATCACATTTAAAAATACTGTGATTTTGATCACAATAATAACATTTAATTTTATTCTGATTATCCATAGCTGGAAACACATGACCAACATGTCTTTTAGACCTTTGTATTAGGAGCTTTTCATTATTAGCAATTTCCAGTTTTTCCAAAATTTCGCATTTTGATTTAAGAAACTTGTTTAGGTCTTCCAAATCTGGTAAATTTCCTTGATAATTAAAGTTTTCCCAGTCACGACGTGTTACTGGATCTAATTTATTTGACAAAATATAAATAATCAATCTGTCCCAGGAGTCGACATTCTCCTCTAAACTTTTTAATGCGCGTAAATGGTTAGTGGTTGTGTCATATAAATTTCTTAAACCTTTATGAGATTCAATCGTCAAAACTGGATATTGAAAAATACTGTGAATATGATTATGTATCATCAGAGCCTTATTCTCAAATCTATCTGCTAACATTTGCCATGCTATTTTATAGTTGTTAACAGTTACCTCAAGTGACTGAATTACCTCAAGAACATTCTCCTCCAATGAGGTTCTCAAATAATAAAACCTTTGTGTATCATTAAGTGTTACATTTACATCAACTAAGCTTGAAAATGATTCTTTAAATTGCAACCAGCCAGAATACTCGCCCTTAAACCTAGGTAGTGTTATGGGTGGCAGCCTTACCACAGGTTGTGGATTAGAGTTTGAAGCTAACTTTGCAAAATTACTGTTACTCGCTACACTTGCATCAGAATTGACACCAGAAACATTGTCTGAATTATTGTTAAACATTTTACAAAGTGACTTGGCTTTACTAGTAACTCTATAAAATTTATTTTCAAAATCTTGCTCTTCTGCGAAAAGCTCTTGTTCTTGATCATTATTAAAAGAAATTAACTCTAAAATTATTGTACTAAATTCATCCAAAATGCTTTCTATATTAATTAATCTACTTTTTATTTCTGAAACTAGTTCTTCAGATAAAGCATCTTCAGTACACTGTTCCAAAAAGTTTTGGAACCTAGAGAGTTTACTCTTGAGAGAAGTCTTTTTTGTCTTTAATTTCGATTCCTCGGTCATTTTAATAGTTCAGACAAAAAATACTTAATAAAATTCTCACAAATACTCACCCTCTATGCTTACCTTATGCCCAGTCGAGAACCCCTGTGGAACGTGCCAACTTTCGTTGTCTTCCGGTTCTGGTGCTGTCACCGCTGTCGTATCGTTTCACTCAATTTTTTCAAATTTACTTAGAATTCATCAAATTAATGAAATTCTTGGCTGAATATTCGCCTCACCATCCGGCTCGAAGGACCAATGTTATGATCGTGATGAATAACTCAAAAAATGGACTGTATGAAAATGATTTACTGGAAAACTGGAGGACGATATAATTAAATTGACTAGTTCAGCCACGTTGAGTGAAGCTAATGACAATTTCATAAAATTAACATTGTGACCATATTATTAATTAATGCTTGGCCTAGACAGTATCAAAAGGCGGTTTGCAGTGTTTGCACCAATCAAGATATCATTAAATTTGAGCCTCAGCAGACTGGAGAGTTCATTTTTATGTATCTGGCTCAAAAATTGACGTTTCAGATCAAAAGTGTCCAAATTGGACCACCCTGTATCTACATTCTTTAACGTGTAAGTAAAGTAAAAATAAATTTTCAAAAAATCATTGTTGATAATTCTTTGCCTGCGCCCCCCCCCCCTGAAGAAAATCCTGGATCCGCCACTGACCTATTCAAGGTAAAAGCGGGAGTTATGGAAATCCTTAACTCCCTTGGAAGTTAAGACCCTCTTTATGATTATCGTAACCAAGGTATTATATGGTTATAATAGTTCAGTAGGAAATGATAGTAGATTATACCACGAGTCAATAATGATAGCTATTATTCCCTAGGAATATTCACGAACTTTTGAGGAATAATGAGGAATAATGACCATTAATCCCGCTACTCGTCATTATTCCCTGCCGGTGACATTAGTCGGAAATAAAAACTCTTTCCCACCAACTTATTATATTCGGTAGACATTCTGAGTGCAAGTGCAATATATTGCCTAACATCATATTCATATATTCATAAAACTCCAAGACTGAAACAATTTGTCAATAATAAGCATGAAACTAGAAGTAAGACTGGCAAACATTTAGGGCAGCCTGTGAACAAAACATCCAAAAAATTACGATTGTATTCGTATCTTGGACCAAAAATGTATAATTTATTACCATTAGATATAAGGTCACTGCCAAGACTCAGTAGGTTTAATGACAGATGTAGAGCATTTTTATTTGATAATGGTGTAACAATTGATGCTAATTATTTAGAATAGTGAACTAAATCTATCAACATCAACACACTTTGGGTAGGTTTATATATTGTATATATATGTATATATTTTTAATTATTATTAATTGTAGTGTTATAGAGGGAAAGAGGGATAATAAATTTCAAAGAATGTTGCAAACACATTGCATATACAGGTGGTCCTGTTTACCTAGATGCAATTTAAATTATATTTTACACTGTAAGCTTCTAGAAATAAGTCACAGCTCTGTAAGGTTGAAAAAAATATGGTAATATTTGATATTATTTGATTTTTGTAAAGCAATACAGAGTAGAGAATCAGCCAGTTTCCAACTCCTCTTCCCATTCAAAATAGAAAAAAGAGAAGATATCAAACCTTCTTCATTTTCGTTAAAATCAGATTTACCTTACCAAACCTCGAGGCGAACCACAAACAATCGCTATCATAAGTTCTCGACAAGTTCTCACCTCGTCCACCTATCGCTCAACGTTAGTCGCCAAAATTGCCATCGCTAACGTTCTTTTGCACCGCAAATGTTCGTTCGTGGTGGCAACTTTGGTGATTAACGTTGAGCGTTGGGCGGACGAGGTGAGAAGTTAGGGGAAATTGTCGAGAACTTATCGATATCGATTGTTTGTGGTTAGCCTCCTGGACCAACTAAATTAATTATATAGATAAAAATTATCATACCTTTGATGAAATCATCATTGTCTGCTTTAAAACTCGAAGGCGCTTCATGCCTCAAGCCAAAACTAGTTCCAATTTCAGCAATGCCAAGTGCATCCATCGTTACATGGTGCACTCTAATCAGATGGCGCTTGAAATTACTTTTGTAGGGCGACGTCACCATACAATTTTCCATGGGACACCAAAATGGATCAGCTTCTGTCCTTTGCCAAACACTATGAAGTAGCTGTACGTGCATGCTCAATATATCGGACTTCCCAGCCTCAAAATTGCATTTTTCACATGTTAGCGATTCTATTATTGGCCTTGGCTTTATCACGTTTTCGTTTGATATTTGAAAATTCTCTACGTCAATTTCATGAGTATTTAGCAAATGGCGCCTGAAGTTGCTTCTGTACTGCGATTCAAAAGTGCAATTTGGTTGAGGGCAAAAAAAATGTGTTTGATTCACCCTTTTGTGGTAGATTTGTTGGTGCATGGATAAATAATATCTGTTTTTGGTTGCAAAGTGACATGATTTGCATGGAAAATTTAAATCAGCGTCATTTCTAAAATTTGCAATGTAACATTTTGGTAGCAAAATACAATGTATCAAGAATAACTAGAACTATACAGACTGGACCAACCTACTAGTCACATTGGAAGTAATAAGACGAATTAGCTTGTACGCGTTTTAGGCGAATCAAGGTGATGCTGCCGAAGATGCCCGACTTTTATTAATATGTAGGGACGATCAATGATTCACCGTGACGATCCTGTAGTGAAATGGGACAACTGGTCCCATTGAAGCCTATGTGTCTAGTAGCCTGGTCCTGTCTGCATAGGCATGCAATAATAGGAACAAAGTTGCCTATTAACTTGCCTAAGGAGAAGTCACATTTATGATATTTGTATTCTACTTTATGAATATCGAAACTTGTATTGAAACTTTTTGATTTTCTATTACTTATTACTTTTTCAATATTTAATTAAGTATCTTTTTATACTGAATAGGTACTTCAATTGTTTTAGTGTGAACGTTTTTTTCTATGGTGAGGATGTCCATTTTTCAATTATTTTTTCTAGTATTTGTTGTAACGATTGTTTTAGATAGTTAGTTCTCCTTATTATTACATCTTGTTTTGTTTTACAGAGATTTCCCTGAGTCTCATGTGTTTGATTTTGGCTATGTTCCTTTATTAACTGCCAGTACTGGATTTACTGTGCTGATTTTATTGTCATTTGCCGTTCCGATTTCAACAGCGTATTCTTGTAGTCAATCAGTACTGAATCGACTGAATCCAGTGTACTGAAAATAATATCGGAACGGCGTCCAGTAAATTCAGTACTGACAGTTGATATCGGAACTTAGGCTTTATCTCATAGTTTTATCTTGTCTTGAATATTTTTTCTTTTTGTGATCGCTTTAGACAGATAAATACAACTTTTTTCCTATTTAAACCACTCAGTTAATCTAACATATACTTCATTTTATTCTGAAAATGCCCATGAATAAATAATTTTTGCTCACCCATTAGATGTTTCTTTATCACTTGCAGAAAATATCTCCGGCACTTGTTTATGAGTGTCAGAGTCAGCCAAATCCAAAGTATCGATATCTGAATTTCCTTCTGCTTTTCTATCAATTTGTTCTAGCGCTTCAGCATTTTTCGCATACTTTTCCAAAATATAAAGAAACGGAACAATACCCTTGACTTCATTCTGAAATATCGTTTTAAATTTTATGATCTGATTTTTATGTGTGCCGCCATGCTGGTAGCTGTGTTTAGCTAAATTTTCAAAGCTGCAGATAGTGCACCGAAGGCGCCATTTATTGTAGTCTGTGATGTTTCTAAAAAAAAAAACAAAAATCATGTTAAAACTGCAGGAAAAGAAATTGTAAAAAATATATTTAACATCCTTGAGTCAATGAAAAAACTAACAGGTTTTGGAAATTTTATCCAAAAGTAGATTTTTCCGAAAGGATCTATACGTCTATTAGCTGCAATTGACTTTGATCGAAAAGATGTTCCTACTTAAATAACTGAAGAAAATATCGTTAAAATGCAATTTTACATCCATTTAGGCCAGTTTCTCTGGATATTCCGATAGATTGTCCAAGATTGGAGAATAATTCAGGGTTTATACTTCAAATGAAATCAAATTACCAAAATATGTTGATATTTTGCTAATTTGTAGGTATACCGATAACAGATAACAACACTAAATTTATTTATTTATTTATTTATTTCATTACTTTACAAACACCAAAAATAGTAATTACATGTAAAGTTAAAACAGCGAAGTGTAAAACACAGAAATAAAGATAGAGTACACAATATAAACATATATGACTAATTTAAAAGGGCCTTCAATTGATTGAAAGTTACATTAAAAAGATCTACCTGGACCTCATTAAGTGCTTGGTTCGCAACTGTCATCATGCGATTAAATGGTGACATATTATTACTAGGATCAGTACCAAAGTATTTCTTGTTTTTCATAATTCTTAAGTTAATCTTTGGTACAATTAAGGAGACATAGTTAATTAAATTACAATCCTTATACTTTAGGTTGTTTAAAATATAAAACAAAAATATCACAGCCTGATTATTCCTTCTTTCCACTAATGACTTTATCTCAAAACTAACAAGCATATCCCTGTAAGGAACCATATATGGGTAAATATTATTTTTAACCACATAGAGATACCGCAAAAATCTCTTCTGCACTTTTTCAATTTCATTAATATGCGTGGCTTCCAATGGCATCCAAATGTGTGATGCATATTCAAGGTGTGGTCTCACCAGAGCATTATACAAGTTAATAATTGTACTTATTTTAAAGTTCTTACTATTCCTGATTACAAAGCCAAGTGCTTTTACTGCTTTATTGACAGCATGATGAAAATGCTTATTGAACTTCATGTTGGCCTGGAAAAAGACACCCAAATCCTTCACCTCTGTTTGACGATCAAGCTCAGTATCACCAATCTTGTATGTTTCTTCTATTGGGTTTGTTCGTCTCGTAAAGCTGACAACAGAACACTTATTAACATTTAGGGACATTCTGTTGTTGTTGAACCAGTCCATCACCCTATCCATGTCACCCTGAAGCCTTCTGCAGTCCTCCTGCCGCTCAACAATCCTACAGAGCTTGAAGTCATCAGCAAAGAGAAGTCCCATAGAGTCCCTCAGGCAGTCAGGCAATGAATTGATGAAACACAAAAAGAAAAGAGGGCCCAGTTTACTACCCTGCGGGACACCTGAGGTTGCAACAAACGCCTCAGAGTTGCAAGCGCCGACCCTCACTGTCTGGACCCTGCCTATTAGGTATGACCTCACAAGATGGTAAGCATCCTCTGACACCCCAAACTCAGCAAGCTTGCAAAGCAGCAACTCATGGTCCACCCTGTCAAAAGCCTTCTCACAATCTGTGTAAATGACGTCCAACTGGCTCTTATTCGCGATCGCCTCAGCCGCCATTTCCGAGAATATAGAGAGGTTTGTTATTGTTGACTTATCATTTAAGAATCCATGCTGGTATTTAGAAATTTTAGGTTTTAGAAAGTCTGAAAGATCATCATAAAGTATTGTTTCAAAAATTTTTGCTAAAATATTAATGAGGCAAATCGGTCTATAGTTCCTAATTTCGTCCTTTCGTCCTTTCTTGAAAATAGGTGTAATCTGAGCATTCTTCAAGGCATCAGGAAATTGTCCACTTCCAATAGAAAGATTGAAAATATGTTTGAGCGGTAGAGCTATGAACTCAGCCAATCCTTTATAAATATAGGCAGGGATCTGATCAGGCCCTGTCGATTTTTTAGGCTTCAACCTTTTAATACTATTTACAACTTTCAACTCTGACACATCTGAAAATTTAAAATCACATCCGTTTACATTCCCCATGTATTTACTTACATCTTTGGGTCTTTCATATACTGACTCAAAATGCTGAGCAAAAGCCATCGCTATATCCTCAGAACCCGAGTACAATTTCTCATTAAATTTCATTTCCCCCGGTATCCCTCGATTCTTGCTCTTTTCATGCAAAAACTGCCAAAATGAACTGGGATCTGAATTTAGGTTAAGTTCCACATTATTCTTGTACAGGTTGTATTCTGCTTGGGTCTGCAGCTTGATGCATTGTCTTAATTCACTAAAGTGCAATTGCACTGATGGATCAGCACACTTACTCAATATACGCTTATGAAGCTTATTCTTTTCCTTGACTTTGTGAATCAGATCTATGGAATACCACCGTGGATAACGGGTTTTACTGGAAGAATGTTTGATTTGTCTCTTTGGAATAGCTCTATCTAAAAGACCATACACCTTTTTATAAAATAAATTGAGACTCATATTTACATCTGTAATTGAAAGTACTTCAGTCCAATCACAGGTTTTCACAAGATTGTATAGAAGTAGAAAATCCCCTTTTGGGAAATCATATACATACTGTTTGGATATACAATTTACCAACTTATCCTTCGTTGGAACTCCAAATTCAAGTGCAGGATGATAGGGGTCCTCTGCAACTAGTGGCTGCACAGACCTAGTGATTTGCGGTATCTCCATGTTCGTCAAAACCAGGTCCAGGCACCTGTCCCTAAAATTTTTAATGTTATTCAACTGTCTCAAATTATTGAGATTAAGGAACTCAGTAAGCAAGGTGTTTTTATCATTATCACATATTTCAAAAAAAGGGAGGTTAAAATCACCCAATATCAATACTCCTGTCCGCTCGTCATCTAAAAGACATTCAAATTGATTAAAAAAACTATTATAGACTTCCAAACTAGAGTTTGGTTGGAAATATACAACAGAGACAATAACATTATACTTTTTCAACTTCAACCTTACAAGAATACATTCAACATTACAGTCAACATTACTATCAATAATTTCATAAGGGAATCTTCTGTCGAAAGCGATCAAAACGCCTCCACCTCTAGCAGCAGTACTTCTATCTCTTCTTAGCACCGTGTACCTCTCATCAATCAGCTCTTGAGTGAAAATTCCATCACATAGCCAAGTCTCAGTCAGTGTCACTATATCGGGATCCATTGTCAACAGGTTGGTATAAAAAGCTTCAGTCTTAGTCCTTAGACCACGCACATTTTGGTAGTAGACCTGACAATGGTTACTTGAAACATAAGTGGAAGTGGGATTTTTTGATTGCGAAACAGTTTTATTTATACTTATATTTATATTTGATTTAGTTTTCATTTTCTCTGAGGAACTGTCTCCTCTGTTTGTGACAGGTTCCTCCTCTTGGCAAAAAACCGAGATACGAGGGCACCATTTGGCCATATCTCTCTTTTCCACGCATTGCGGAAGTTATTTTGCCTGAGAGTAACTTTCATAGAGGAATATAGAGTGGGATGTTTGGATGGATGTTGCTCACAAATTACCTCGGGAAAGTGCTTAGCTAACATATTTCTCAGGTCTTCAGGCTTTGTGCTTGGGTCAAGCCTAGTTACGTGTAGTGAGACAGATTTTGGGACCCCTTGTATTTCTGTCTCATTATCGCCCACCACATATCGTCGGCGCTTTCGTCTTTGCACCTGCCACTGGTCATCGTCCTCATTTTTCGTGTATAATTTTTGAATATTTTGCATTGCATTGCGAGTTTCAACTTCCATCAATGCCGTGTTTAGGGTTTTCGAGTTGATAATTTCGATTCTTTGTTTGTTTATATTTTTATTAATATCATTGGTATTGACCTCTATGGAATTGACAGCCGCCTCAGCTGATTGAGTTGTCCAACTTGGCAGTGTTGCCTGTTGTTGTGCGGTCGAATTACCATCCCTGGTTGCCACATTTGGTTTATTTCTTATTTGCGTTGGCCATTGCTTCGGAGGTTTAGCGGTGTTGCTAAATATTGCTGGCCCTTGTCGAGCATCCCCAATGACGTCATCTTTGTTTTGAGAGGTCATGGAAGCAATGTTTATGTTTTCCTCACTTATTCCTTTAAAGGTTGAGATTACGCATTTTTGGAGTTCAACTGTGTACTCCAACGATGCGAGCAACTTCTTCGACATTTCATACTCGCTCCTTAAGCTCCTCAACTCTGTTTCAAGAGCCCTGTCGTCGCTTTTCGCTTTCACAGGTGGGGTGGTTGCAGGAGAAACCATACTTTCAAGAGAGAAGATTTTTCCTTGGAGTTCATTTTTAAGTTCAAGATACTTCACTTTTTCATCCTCGTACACTTCTATTTGCGATTTTAGGTTCAGAATCTCGTCTTCTTTGGCGGAAATAGCTTCATTCACAACTTTGTTTACCTCCGTGTCCCGTACGACCTTGGCACATGTCGCACAGTTAATTAGATTTTTACTTCCACTAGTGACTACTAGCCCCGAGATTCTTAGGGCACATGATTGGTGGTAGTAAACATTACATAAATTGCACTTCAAAAAACTTTTTTCAACACCGGATTTGCAGTACTTGCATTTTTTCCCGTCCGTATCTAAAACATCACCACCCGCAGGCGCCATGTTGGATTTTTTTTTTTATTAAATTGGCAATATTTGAAACACAATAACTATTAACAAACTATTGAGAAACTGATGCGACATAATAAGGAAGGACGTTAGTAAGACATCGCTGACTGTCGTCGGCTGGACGTCCAAAGCATGTCTTTAGTACGAGTACAAAGTGGTCCAAAATTTGACGTCCATTTGACGACTCACTTTCTAATAAAATGTCAGGTAATGCAATCTGACGGATAAAAACGCAATATGTAACCCCATTGGTCACCCAATTATCCAGTGACCAACAGGATTATAGATCTGTAAACTTATCTTGCAGATAGTTGCCAGCAAGTTTATCTCAAGATGAATAAACCACTGGG